TTCTGAATCATTCATCATGGAATACGCTCCGCTCGACGATTTCGTATCGCTTCGGTCGAAATTACATCTTCGATTTCGCAGCGAATACAGCGACTGCGCTCCGGTTTTAATTGACTCGAGACGACCGCGTTGATAACGTCGTACACGAAATTAACCCTTCAAGTGAATAGCAGTGCTGTCAATTTCGACTGCCTGGGCAGCCGTATCTTTCAGACATTACCCGGACATCCGTGCACTCGGCTATACGTTCAATTTCAGATATTTTCTGGTTATTAATTTTTCTCATGATAACAAAGAACGAATTAATGTATTGCTGTCTCCTGAGTGCTTGCAAAATTGAAGGTATTCTTCGTATTTTTCTTTTAATATAAAAGACATTATCAATATGTAGATTGCTCCATATTATATCAATTAACTTAAAAGCTGCAGACCTACTCGAATCGACGGTAGCTTTATTTTGCGTCCGTCTGCCTTCTGCACATGAGCAATGCGGTTAAAGTTAATTAAATGATTACGCGAAATAACTTGACATTTTTAGATAATTGCTTTTTTTAACAAGTAGCGAACAAATGTATTGCATATCTGTAACTATTTACTATTTAGTTGCTTGGGTAATATCTACGAGTGCACAAAAAAAAGGACATTCTTGTTTGGAAAATATCTTTGCTTTTAACATATTAATCTTTGAGTGATCATATTTAAATGATCACAAGAAGTGATCGCATGTTAATCTTTAAAATCACAAAGCGTTAAGTGAAAATAAGTTACTTGTAAGAACACATTTTATATAATTAGAAAAGAAAAACTTTAATAAAAATTATATTTTAATAATAAGAACACATCTTTCTCTTGAATCATATAAAATATATTTTTGCAAGTGACGCTATGTAATCTCAAGATTAAATGTTAATAATAAAGATATTTTTTAAACAAAAATATCCTTTTTCTTCTATCTCTACCATATCTCGAATACCTGAGTATGCTACCCGCAAATATGGATACCATCCAGGTTATATTGACAGCACTATTGAATGGGAGAGCCATTCGTGTTCGAAAAATAATTTTATATTTCTCACCCTGAAATTTCTAAGGATACATATGCATTCTTAACAAAAGTTATGGTAGTAAGCACACATTTGAGGCTCAGCAGTGACAAAATTCATGTTACTGTCTGAATAATAGCCGGAGAGCAAATCGATCCTGGATACGATTCCTCTATTCAATAATTCCATAAATTATCCACCAATTATTATTAACATAATATCAACGTTATAATTTCTCACTCAATAATGTAAATGCAATATAACGCGTGTGTTATGTAACAGTTACATCGTTGAGTGGAAAATTATAATATTGATTTAAAATTATAATATTGATGTAATATTACTGTTAATTGGTATTTACTGAGTTAACGTATACTTTTATATAGATAAGTGAAAATTTGCTTTTCTTTACATATTGTATATCTTAATAATTTTCCAAAAGTTATTTTAATTTATTTAATTAATATGAGTATTTTTAAATTTTGATGAGGATGTTAAAATGGATAAACAAAGGAACAGTTGACAAAATATAGATTTTTTTCAATTTCTTGTACTTCTTGTATTTTTTACTTTTTTTTTTACTTTTCTATAATGTATAAAAATGTTTATTTATCTTTATTTTCTCGTACAAAAATACTATTTTTATATACAAAAATAATTAAATTTTATTCATACTATAAAAATATAATATGAAAATCTGAGTATATAACTTTTAGTAGATTTGCTGCACTAGTACAAAAAATGAAGAATTTACATTATTATATGATATAAATTTAACGATTAATTCAACATAACATATTTGTCATTTTATCAATGTAATTAAAAGAATCGTTTCCATCATCATTCGTCTCACGTCGTGATAATTGTGGAAACATATTTGGTGTGACAAATTTGACGCTCGAGACTTCGAATCTATATTCGATATTATCATGTTAAACCGATGGGTGTAATAACAGAAGTTGTGTGAATTTTCTGCAAATTTCGCATCGTTAAATTAATTGCCGGATGAACGTGCCGAGGAAATCGCGCGAGATCTCGAGATTATCGAGGCAATGCGCAATGATAGCTCGATCTGTAAAAGAGACCACGCGACGCCGCGGGGAAAGGATTACCAGATCGCGTTCCCCTTTCTCACACAGTGAACGTGTGCTCATTTTTATACATGGAATTCTATATGCACACTCACGCCACATTTGATTATCAACACGGCGCGCGATGTTTCAACGTAAAGTCCGACTTAAATCAAACTGTCACGGATCCGACCGTGCGAAATGAAGCTGCTATTTTTTAGTATCACGCGCGCAATACAAGACGTGGGCTTTAATCTTCGTTAGAATCGAATAAATCCCGCGTGCGAGTCTACTCGTTCGATGGAAAAATATCGCATAACTAATTTATCTCGTCTATGTATAAATGACGCGCGAGTCACGTGCGACGACTTGTCAGGCCACACACGTTGCGCCCTCAATTATTGCTCAGCAGCAAAGATACGCATATATAGGTTCACGTACATAGTATATAGCGGCCACGTGCATTTTTCATAGCCTCCTATAGCATACTAATCGTGTATCCCGCGTTTTGTGCGCCCTTGTGTGCGCGCGACTGCTTGTGCTGTCACATGTTACTACGTCGGCCATGTCACGCGCCGCGTCATGTTCCAAAAAAGCGATTAATGCAGCTGGAAAATTCGACAGTTTGGGCTTGCATCAATAATTTCGTGATAAACAGTAATCATAAAAAGGAAACAATTCCTAAGCAATCCTTCATCTTCCAACCACGATTTTCACACGGTAAGTGATTGTCCAAGTCGAAAGGACAAAACCGTAAAAATCCGTAGTTTCGTATCGATAAAAATTATTAACAAATTTCGAAATAATTAATTCTTAAATTATTTTCTTAAATTATTATAAATATTAAAATTTAAAAATCAATATAACACTTTATAAATCTTTGAATATTTAATTATTTAAATAATTATTCTTTGAATTATCCTTAAAATTTTTTAAATAAAATTTCTTAAATTAAATAATTCTTGAGTCTTTTTTTAAGCTTTAATGTGTCTCAATTTTAATGTGACTTTAATGTGACTCGGTATTATTGAAATGAGATGCAATGTGTTAGACAACTTTTAAATAAGTCTTTCTTCAAGCCTCAACAAAACATAAGTAAATAATTATTTGTAGTGTCAAAAAATAGAACAACTTATATAGTGTCATACCTGAAGATTCTGAACTCTAATGCTTCAGTTCCGATAGAATTTGTATGATCAATGTAGAATCAGAATTGCGAGTCGAGTCGTCAAACGGCTCATTGTAATTACAGATCTTGATTGTTGATCAGACCGATTTAACTTTTCAACTACGTGATAATTGACGTCAGCTGGCTACCTTATTATACAGTTAATTAAGTTTGCACGGATACGCCTCGTACTTGTAGCTGTTCCGTCAATCATATAATGAGCATACGCTACGCTAAGCGGACAAAATTGATTAATCTCTGGAAAATGTTGCTCGGTCGATCGTTTCATCGCGATCGTAATTATCGTGAGTTAGGAAAATTACTACTTCTTTTTCTCCTCTCTCTCTTTCTTTCCCTCCCTCCCTCTTGTTCCCTCCTTCCCTCTCTTGCTTTCTCTTTTTCTGTCTATTTCGTTAGCCGGTAAAACGTATCATTGCCGTAGAATTCGGTGATAATACAATCCAATAAATTACTGGCGGGCGGAACGCGCAACGCAATTTAATGGCTCGAAGTAACGGGGAACAACGATTAAGGCGGGCGAGCTTGACTTTATCGCGAAAAAGATTACGATTTGCCGATAGCGCGCGATAGGGTCGGGGGCGAAATCATTTAAATAGAACATCCTTTGAATTGCGTCTGCAGCAAAAATCAACAACGAAAAAAATTCCACAAAGTTCGTTCGTGCGAAAAGTTTAAAGGAACGTTACAAAGCGAATGAGAGAGATAGATAGTTAGATATATAGATAGATAAAGAGGGAAGGAGGGAGGGAGAGGGAGAGAGACAAAGAAAAAGAGTGTGTGTGTGTTAAGCAAAGTGTACACAAATACCGGTCTCGATCAATCAAATTTTCCAGCGCAATTAAATCTGCGCCCCGACTCTCTTCTTCCTCGTTTACTCTCTCTTTCTCTCGCGAGCGAAAAGGAAAAAGGCGCGCCTCGAGACAATCTCGCGGGAGTTTCAGAAGTGGTTTCCGTACGAAAGGACGCGCGAACTTTCGCGCATAATTATCTGGCAATTCGCGGCCAATTAGCGCATTAATATCGAAGCAACAACTCGCAGGCGACGCCGGTTTACTATTGAGCAGTTGTATTCCCACGAGGGCGGTTGGCTTCCACGTGCGTTCGACCTCTTATCACCCCCGTCTCGCATGTTGTTACGATTATAGTTGCTAATCTGCGTTTCGTGAAGGTGATTAAAGAGCACCGAGGCACGATACGTTGGTCGTATCGTCTGTAATTAAACGTATTAAATCCTCAGCCGATAATGGAGGTGCACACATGTTGTTCAGATGTTAATTTCAGCGTGGCGAGTGTGGTTGCCTGTATCAGCAGTTTCGCTAAACCGCTGCAAATACCAAAGGTTCGTTGACTATGCTGATTTCGCTGGCTACGACTCCGTTCAAGAAATGATGCTACTTGGCGAGAGTCGAAGAAGTATATTATCTGAAACTCGTGCGTTCAAAACTATCATCCTCCCTCCGCCTTCTTTCGCCTGCCAACGCAATATAATAAGATTAGTTTGTGCGAGATAAAGCGCAAAGTAACGATGTAAGTGTGCAATAAAGATTCGCCGATATAAAGCTTGTCCCTAAGTATCATTTATTATGCCTCCCCTTTCGCGTGTCGTGCTTCTTTGTATCGCGATTCGAGGCCCGGATTATCTGGAAACCATAAATATTCTGTCCGGAATAATAAACGTCGGACTAATGAATGCGCGGATTGCGTTTTTCGTAAGTTATTTATTATAATTGTAAATCATTCGAGGGATAGAGTTACACAAATTGAAAACATTCATCTCTTACGTTTCGAGAAACCGGAGTCGCTCCGAATACCAACGGACGACGGCGTGTCCCGGACCTCCGTGTCATTCACCGTGACGGCGATTGGGCCGCGCGGCGGCGCGTGCGAAATCGCCTGCGGTTCGTAACAAAAATATGAAGTCACGCTGTGAACTCACACGTGAGTGCATTTCACATACTGTCGTCTCGCACACTTGTTGTCGCGTGGTAACAATACCACGAAATCGCCGTTCCAAATCAACGCGTGATGCCACGAGATGCAAGATAAAAGTACCAATGCCCGGACATGTATCCAATCCTGGACATTCTTATTGTTTTTAACTGGATTTATAAGATATATGTATGTAAACTTTTATAGTATAAAATATATATACAAGTACTGAGTATTGAGACATTCCGAAATAAAATCTTTAGATGTTAAAAATAGTAAATTATTCAAATAATTATTCTTTTAATTATTCTTAAAAATTAATAAACAATTCTTAAGTCGTTTTTTAAGCTTTAATGTTAATGTAAGTTATTGAAATGAGATGTAATGTGTATTAGAACATTTTTAGATAAGTCTTTCTTCGAGTCTCAGCAAAACACAAGTAAGCAATCTGTAGCGTCACAAAATAGAATATCCTATATAATGTTATATCTCAAGATTCATTCTTCGTTGAAAGTTTAAACATTCGTATTTCAAAATCAAAATAATGAAAATATTTAGGATTAGGTATGTGCCCGGGAATTGGTACTTTTATCTTAATGTAAAAACGTGCGATTCGCAGTCAGAAAAGAATTCGAATCGACGGATATACACGGATTATTTATAGTACAGCGATATTTACAGGTGCTTATGGATTGTACTTACAATAAAAACGTCTCAGTACAATACGCATTCTCACGCTCTCTCTCTCTCTCTCTCTCTCTCATAGATACAAGTACCATCTCGTACACACATCACTCCCATCTCGTCTTACATACAAAAAATTACATTGTTTAACGCAAAGCAACGGCACAGTACGTGTAAACGCGCCACTTGGTCGTTCGAAGTAAAATCGCGGTGTGGATATTTTTATGTAAATGCAAACTATAAAAGAACGTATGAGTCACACCGACAGAGCGGTTCCTCAAAGTACGAAACGCCGAACGGATCAAGAACTTTTGCAAATAATATACTCGCAGATTTGCGATATCTCGCGAAGAGGAATCGCGAACAGTTCGTTTCGCAGCGTCGCGACTCTGTTCTCACTTTCCTGGCAAGACATAATTCTACGTACACGCAAACTCGCGTTGCAACATTACGCGTCGCTTTCTCGGCAGCGCGTATCGCGGAGGATACGTGCAATATGTAAATTTGTGACGACGTGAAGTTGCGCGTACATACGTGCGGGCGTTTCCCGTCACATGATATCAGGCACTCCGAACAAGTTTGCTTCAACGAGAATAGACTAATTAATGCCGAGGTGCAAAGAGGAGCGCAATGTGAAACGTGCGACGAAATCTTGCGAGATTGCAAGCGAAAGTTCGCGAGTTCCTCGACGCTTCCACGATCTCGTCCGTCACAACCGCTGCCCGCTGTCAATCTCAATCTACAATGCGTCCCTTGCTTCCTCTTTCTTCCTCTTCTTGTTTCTTTCCGATTCACATATTAAGCTTTAAGACAGAAAAAGACAAAGAACAAGAGAGCACATTCTAGATCGGGCTTAAGCGGCTCGAGAGATTCGAGTTTTCAGGAAACCAATTAAGAGTTAACACAGTTAAGGTAACAACAGTCGTTACTTGAAACTTGTCACAAGTGAGATAGGACCGTGTTAATAGTTACTTGGAATTCCTTAATTGAGAAATTAAATTCGTCAATTTCTCAAATGAGATGCTTAGATTTTAGTTCAGAATTAGATGACAGTTTTTCAATTGCGATTATACAATATATATCACATAATTCAACTGAGAAAGTTGGATCTAATTCTGAAGAAAAATCTGAGTATCTCACATAAGATAAGTGACAACTACTAAGACAATTTCAGAATTGAATATAAGTTAGATGTAAATTTATCTCTTGAATTCTTCCCACTTGAAAATTGCGATTACAAACATAATCTTACATATATTATTCGATACAACTGGAAAACTCAAATCTAACTTTCCACGGGGAAAACTGCTATGGTTACTACAACCACATTTTGTATAATTAATAAAGAATTTTATGCGTAAATTCAAGATAAATCAAGATAAATAGATAAATAGATATTGCATTAAAAATCACTCCTGTTATATAATGTTCAACTAGTATCAATTTTAATATGACTTTGACTAAAACATTATTTTGCTATCATAATATACATCATTTTGAGCTATAATGGGCCAAATACACTGCAGATCCAAGTGCATTATTTTGGTTGAGTCTCTTTTTACACGTTTTTTACCGTTTTAAGCCATTTAACACGTTAAAACGTATTAAATTATAAATTACACGTCGTAAATGTGTTAAATGACGCGACTGAAAACAGCGAGAAATGTGCGAAAAGAGCCTTAGCTAAATTACACGCTTCTTACGTGTGTTTAAAAACACTTAGACCTGCAGTATGGTCATCGTTGTTCAATTAATAGCAGTGGAAATATTTAAACTTTTCATGACAAAATAGGACATCGTATATAATGTCTTCAACCGAAAAAATATTACTGTCGCTCTGTTACGGAGTGCAGAATGAACACGAGTTGGTTGAGGGATCCGTAGGGTTTATTTGCGCACACTGAGAGTTCCGCTCAAACGAACAGACAACAAAAAGGCCAATATGCCAGAACACTATGGTTTCTACGACCTTTTTGTATGTGCATCGGCGAAAATAACATCAATATTTGGTTGCAGCAACCGTGCTGTTTAGCCAAGCGATAGCCCCGAAGTGTTTCCTCCGTGACAAATTCGAGCATCTCACGCGGGAAAAGTTTCAAGACAACGACAGTTGACACGGATCCAAAGAATTGTAACACGTCCGTTTCCTTCAGTCAGCCCGCGAACGCGACCAACAACGCGACATTCACAAATGACAATTCGCAAACGCGCACATTACTGATAATGGACGTAATGTGCGAGACAATAATGGAGAGCGGCAGTGCGGAATGAACGTTAATTGTAGGCATTTACGGTAAATATTTGCCCTCCACGCAGTACCGCCGCTCTCTATTAATATTTTGTCATTAATGAGCCATTACAATGCTACGCATATTTCGCGTGGAGTACACACGCGCGCGCGGCGTTTGCTAGCCGCGAGCGCCGATCAATCGCGAAGTGGAAAAGGAAAGATTCGACACGACGGTGGAATCGTCCCGCTCGCTGCTCGGCGACGAGGCGCGAGAATAAATAAGGCGCGAGCTCGTTAAGGTTGCGTTATGATAATGAGGCTGTTCCCGGGACTATACGCGGCGTTCCGCGGGCGCATGAAAAGATGCATCAACGACGAGGAATCCAGCGGACGAGAAGGGGGTTGCTGAAACAGCACCAGCAGCGCGACGGCAGCCCGGAAGGGCGAGAGTCGCGGGCGTTAAAGGCCGTATAAGCGACCCTTCTTACAACGTATTTACATAGGGCTAATTTGCATTTTAGACGGCGAAGCTTGCGGCGCGTGCGATTTGCATCTTGTCGTGCGAATACCGACGGATAAGCGAGAACCGTTATCAAAGGCGTCCCGTCATCGCCGTCGTGCGATTTCTTTCTCTCCGCGATTTTAACAGCACGCGACGAAATCGCGATTACGCGGCAATATCGAACGCACGGCGGGTGTTACAATTAACGCACCGGGCGCGTTTCGGCGAACTCGGAAGGTCAACATCGATCGCTCGACGTCGCACAGTGTGACATGTGACGAACAAACTGACGGGACATCATTCTTAGTCTGATGCGCGAACTCTTAATTTAATATTTGTGGCGAATGTGCGTCCCAATTAGTGACCAAGTGACCTCATTGCGAAAATAAATTAATGACACTGGTCAACAAAATTTGATATTTTCTTTGCCTCACTAATGAGAATAATCGTTCCCGATGTATTTTTGCCTACTGAACACGAATCCGTTCTACAAATTTGGGTATTGGATCACAATTTTGAGAAAAATGGCAATAGAAATGTTAAAAACGGTCATTTTGAGGGTCTTCCTGGTTATAAGACTGACAGCAAATTTTTTCCCTAAATTTCATTAATGCTACGCAAAAGTATCATTTATCTTTAGAATGCACTTGATTTCGTATCGATATGATTTTTCGTTTTCGAAATATGTCTAAAATATGCAAAACATCGTACGGTATCAATATTATGTACGGCATGATTTTCATGCAATGAGTGCAAATAAGCATTTTCGAAATATAATATTATAATACAGTATAGATGTATTATGTAATACTACCTTTATTACGGACCGCATGAACTTACTTTCTAAATGAGAGCCAATTAAAACTTTTTATGATGGTAATCGTGTTCAGCACGTTAAAGTCATTCAGGATTGAACATTTTTACCTCATAAGCATTTTTATTGTTGTCCAGCGTGACTTAATAATGTGCGTGTTAAGCAGAGTAAAACGCAAAATCGATTTTGTTTGAAAGCTTGAACACTTGGAATTTCAATAGTGTTATATTTTTCTAATTTATGGGAACATCTTCCTTTTTTACAATACTTCCTCTTCAAAATATCGGTAACGTATCATTTAATGAGATTTAGTTCTGTTTTAATTTGTGACGTAAGGTGAATCCCAGCAAATAGTCTTATCGTGACAATAGAGAAATACATTTCTTTGTATATATTTTGCACATTGGCAAAATCGATTGTATGACACGAAGGGCTACCCTTGACTCTACGACAACATAGCATCTAGACTGAGTCTTTATGCAAAATATAAACATTTTCTGTATATGATATTTGAGGCTCTCGCGATGTCCATAAATATTAGATTTGGTTTCCGGATTTGAGCCGCGTGGATTCTTCTTTGTCTGATTCCGACGTTTCGCATCGAGTCATTCCTCCCTGATGAAACAGACTGAAATGTTCGCGAAACGTCGGAATCAGATAAAGAAGAATCTACTCGGCTCAAATCCGGAAAGCAAATTTAATTTTTTGTATATATTGTTTTGTATACATTTTGTGTCATACGTAAAATCGATTTTGTTTGAAAGCTTGAATATTTGGGGCATCAAGAGCGTTATATTTTTCTAACTTATGGAAAGATTCTACTTTATTTATAATATTTATTTATAATTTATAAATTTATATGTTTTCTCAAGAGTAATTGATGTGCCATTTAATGATACAACAGTTTAGTTTTGCTTCAACGTAATATGACGTTGTTAATGACGTAATATGAATCTCAACAAATAGTCTCAGTGAAAATAAAAAATATATACATTGTTTAATACAAAATAATAAGTATAAGCGTTATATGATTATCACAAATCGATAAAATTATGAGTATATTACTGACTTAATCTATTATTGATTAAACATAGCAATTTATAGACTAATGACTCATATTTATTTTATTTAATAAATTCTGGACAGATAAGTTATAAAATCAATGCTGTTTTTTGACTCCATAGAAAATAAGATTTACAAATCACACATGTGTTCTTTTTAAAAATGAGAACATTTATATCATTTCACCATATTTATCGAGGTTGTCACTAATGGGGACAAACAAATATTTTGATACCGATTAGTGACATGTATGAATTAATTACACCAATTAAATATCTTGGTACTTTCTCTCTGCAATGTAAAATATTCTTTAATTTTGAGATAACCATTTGCCTGAGATAAAAAAAAAGATCGTATCGATAGAGGCGCCAATTGCACAGAATAAATATTAAGAGGCAATCAACGATCTATATAGTAGAATATAGTAAAATTGAATTATCTCCCTCCAGATCGACATATTTTTTTCACACTGCGCGCCGCTTGAAACAACGTTTATCGGCGATTGCCCATGAGATACGCGCGATGTTTTATTGACGCGACGTGTGTGTGTATTTCGGGAGACGATATTCATTATTAGGGAGCGCCGTGGAATTTCGTACGAGGCGTGGATATTATTGGCGCATCTCGGAAAAGGATAAAAATAAGAGGGCGACGGAAATAAAGGCGATAGCAAGAGCGGTGCAGTAATAACGGTTACGTTAGACAAAAGCGAAAGTGGTGAATGCGCGCCGAGTTTGTCCGGACTCGAGATACATAAATGCTACACGGGGCGATCTGCACAAACACGTCGGCGCTGGTCGCTGAAATTCCGCGAGGCTTTTTCCCACAAAGGGAACTGGGAGATTTGCGAGGCGACCATTGTGAAAAGTGGAAGAATAATAACGAAGAAGAACCGCCCTCCCTGACGAGGGGATTTCCTTCCGAGCGGCGGCGTCTCTACAGCTTGCGACACGTAAGCGCGCGTTAATTAATGCAGACTAATTAAAAAAAGCACGCGCGTCCGTGAGGATTGCATAACAGTGTCTTGAGCGCGAGAAGGAGAGAGAGAGGGAGAGGGAGAGGGAGAGAGAGAGAGAAAGAGAGAAAGAGAGCTCGTTTCGAAGTTTTTGGATCCCGCCGTACGGGAGAAGCGGTGGAGACACGATAGCCCGCGGGAATTATATTTTCTGTCGGCAGTCGATTACACGTCCGGTTACGCCGTGGCGGTTCGAGTCGCGGAATTGCGGAAATTGAGTTACCCTTCGATCGATCGTTCCCCGCGATATCGCTGATTTCGATAACGGTCTTTATTTCAACGTTGTTTCTCCACGATGTGCGCTGACTGAAGGAAATGAAACGTCTTAATGTGTATTATTGAGACTAATAGATAAATTTCCTCGGAATTACGGCGAGTCTTCCCTCTCCACTTCGAGCAAAGGTGATCGTGACAATCCGGACGTAGAGATCGAAAAGATAATATCGATTTCCTGGTAGAAATGTATGCAGTTTGTATCGCGTAGATATCCGCCCAGTTGTTTGATATTAATGTATTCTCATTATCTCTCGTGAAAATACTGCGACAAGAACTTGACAGAGTTTTGTTCAGCGACTGAAGCAGCTTACTGTGCAATATATGCAGTCTTTATAAGACGTAATAATGTTAATTCAGTTTTACAATCGGTACGTATTATAATGCCTGTCCTGAATAAATTTAAGACATATTTATTTATATTGTTAGAAAAAAACTCAATATTGTACGAGCGATGAGAAGTAAACGTGTAGAGTAAGAAACAGGAAACAAGATGTTTGACAATATTAAGCTCTGTAACACAAATGGCAATCAAGGCGAGATATAAAAACAAGCAAAACACAAACAGAGTATATGTTTATAATACAGAATTTTATTGCGATGATTATAACATTAGATTATTCTGATGATAATGACATAAATGAAAACTGTCATGATAGTTCAGACTCAGAAATAGTACAACCGCAAGAATGGACATATTTCATTTGATGGTTACAAAAGATGTCATGTAAAATTATATATTATTAAAAAAAATCTTAAAATATTGTGAGAACAATGATGAACGTGTAGAGCAGCGTCGAATAAGAAAAAAGAAAATTGAAGGAAATAATTTGACAATATTAAACCATGTGACACAAATAATAACTAAGGTTAAAAATAAAAGAGAGCAAAAAATAAATGGGGTAAGATAAATTTGCGAAACCAATAAGAAAACACGATTATTTTTACATTTTTATTAATAGGTAATTGATGGAATTACCAACAAAAAACTGATGCGCGTGTTCATATAAAGCTTTGGCTGGTCAATGATCGAGAAATAACAGGAAATACAATATTTAAGATATATCAATTATAATTTTAATAAGATATATTAGATAATGTCGTTTATACTGATAATTTAACTGAAAAACGAATCATGTCCTAATTAATGATCGAATCAATGATTGAACAGACTCACTGATTGAATGCTCATTGAATAACATTACAAATTAGCATAAAAAACATCTCTTGACAAATTATCAAAGGCTTTTTTAGTAAGATTCAATGTAAATATATTATTAATATTTCGATCACTAGTATTATCATATTACTAATATTTTGATTGACATGTTCAATTACTGGGAAATTTATTTCCTATGTTAATGGTATAGATCTTATGTTAATGATTTCATCATGATGAGAACACGTCAGACTATCTTGATGGTAATGATATAAATCAAAATTGTTATGATAACTCAGACTCAGAATCTAATAAAATAGTACAACTATAAGAATGGATAAAAAGACAAATGTCATTTGATGCTTGTTAAAAACATGAAAACATATATTACGTCCCGAAGATTTCCTGCATTACAGTCCTCATTAGTATTAAAATTGTTCAATTAGAAAGCGTGCACAGAAAATAAAATACAAAAGCAAATCTGCGGATTTTATGAGCAGCAGACTTGACTATTAATCAATTGAATAGTTTTTTATCCATTTACTGTCCTGTTTTTGTTCGGTAAATGAGCTTATATTTTGTGCATTTTTGCAATGCAGGAAAAGCGTTACATTTTCATTGGGATGCTAAGTAGTTTCACTCTTCAGTTGCTAGATGAAAGTTGACGTAACTGTCCAGTAACTGTTCGAAAACTGCATTAAATATCTACCAGTGTTGTAAAAGTTCTGTTTTATAAAATAGAATAATTCGTCTGAAAGTGGAAGTTGCTCTTCAAAGTAATCGAGCCGCTTGTCGTTTCCATTCGCACGAGGAGATTTAGGAAAGGACATATGAGAAGAATGAGAAGTTATCAACGAGAAATCCATATCGAAGGATGAAAGGATACGTGCGTCGATTAATCTGACGGATCGTCCTCTTCGTGAAAAGTTCTAATTTTCGTTCCGTAGATGACAAAGATAAAATACGGTATTGTATCAAAATTGTCGGTGGCTGTCGCGCGAAAATGTACACAAGTGTGTATGGCGTGTAAAAAAGGAATGTTCATAAAAAATATTCTTAACATGTATGTATTCTCTCACAAAAGTGTGTGTTACGTCAGTAAGTCCTCTTCTTCCTGTTTTCCATGGCCCTTATTGTGAACTCTTTCTCTCTTATCGATAAAAGTGCTTCCAAATGTGCTTATAGAAGCCGACCAGAAGGTACGTGGGTCACTTTTGTAGCCAATTTTAACGATAAAAGAGAGCTCAGAATAAGGGCCTTTGTGTCGGCGAACAGTCACGGGAGATCAATCCGTAAGAACGACGCGTGTATCCTTGACGATCGCGACCTCACGTAAGATCGAGGACATGACGACATTGACGATGTTCGTACGAAGGACCTCGAGGCATTACCTAACTGATGACTTAACTCTTAAAGATAACGGTCGCGGCGGGAACGTCATTACGTTAACGGCCACGCTGATGTGTCGAAAATGCGACTCCACGTCGCCGGGTGCTCCGCGCGAGATCGATCCGTCATAACGACACGGCGAGAGTTCGGGGGAGATTACGACTCGTCGAACGACGTACAAACAAACAACGAGAACGGGGCTTGCTAATGCTCGGATTTCTTGTACACTACGGGCAGTTGAGCGAAATTACACATCAATGGCTCTCGCGAGAGACAAAGGATACACCACGAGCGCAGAGCCAACGGTGGTGACGCGCAATCTGTCGCGCTCTCTTCTCGCGTTGAGTGGGTCCTGATTCGTTCTCGGTCGTCAACCAGCTGAGTATTGAATGCTTGTCAGTAGAGTCAGAATATCCCGAAGACGTAAGACGTAAGCGAATCCCGTGTAATGTAAGTACAAATGAAAGTTCCACTTTCATACAGAAATACGTTGAGCTTCTCTACTCGGAAATCTACGTTTTCCCCTAAAATCCCCGAAATGCGATCGAAATCAGCCATCAGATCATCAGTCCGCGTCAAGACGTCAGTATTGCTCGGCTACTTCGTGACGTTCTGACCTCACTGAGCGGCATTGTTGTCGTCCCAGCATTACTACGCTCAATCCTGTACAAGCTCCGCGGATCAATGACTGACTGGGAAGGAGAACACACGACGAGCAGGATCGCGCATCACCGGTGCGGTCCGCACTCGTTTGATGCCTTGGAAGGAGGATCCGAGCTCTGATTATTACGTACTAACACTTGCGATCGTTCACGAGGGAGAGCCTCGGCTAGCCCGACAGGCGCGCGCTCTCCCGCTTTCCCGCACATTTGCAAAATCGATTGTATGGCACGAAGGGCGACCCTCAGCTCTACGATTTTCGACACAGTTTCGATTGAGTCTTTTTATTATGCACATTTTCACCACGCATACACGCAAACTTAAGCGCACACACACTCACACATACACTCTCTCCCTTACACATTTCTTCCTCTTTCTCACTTATTTATCTGTATATTAAATTACACGTTCCTATTTACAGCAGTGATATACATACATGTCAATTTCTATAAAAATCGTCTCGCGACTGTGGCAGCGTAGCTTCGATATACAAAACCGCTGTAAGTTCGTTGAGAGATTTTTTCCTCACGCCCCGCGGGCGTTCGGCCGCTCCTTGTTCGACGACTGACGATCGCGGTCGGTCAGTCGCACGAGCGACGATTAATGCTGAAGGAACGTCGGTTAATACGATTCTAACACGGTCACGTAACGCGACAAGCTTCGAAGAAGATTGGTCAGCTGGAGTTGCGGTCAGTATCGGCGGAAAAGGGAAATCCCGTGCGAAATATTTCTCGCGAATGGATCGATGATTTTCTCAAGCTGCTCCCCCCGTATCGCTGACGTTCTCGGGACGTCACCTGCCGAGGTCTCGCCCGATGGCTGGCGGATGGTACAGTTCGGACAGGGATCTGTCGTAAGTTAAAGCGTCGTCCCACAGGTCTGTCGGTAAAAATGTTACCGGCGAAACGTGATCGATACGCTCCAGGGAACCCGCTTTGCTCGGTGAGGTTTCGCCGGGGATATACAGTCGAGTGTACAGCGAGTGCAAGGTACATGCACGATGAGTGAGCACGGCCGACAGGCGTTATGTGGTCGATAACGCAGTTTCCTCGGGATATGTGGTTAATCTATGAGACAACAGAACCCCTAATCCTTCGATTTTACTCGGCCGACTGCCCAAGAAAGTGAACGTCACACGCAATACACGGCTACACCTACTCGGCATTCCTCCGTCATCGATTCTCATCCGGTAGATATTTCTCAGTCAATATCCGACCCAGAGGATCCTGTCGCGCGCCGGATCGCGTAATACGGTTTGTCCCTTCCATCAAATCGCTATGGACGCTTGAACGCATAGTTTAACGTAAACGCTTGTCCCTAAAGCTATTTCCAGTCCTATTCAAACAAAGCACTCGGCGCTTGAGCTTCGTTACACACATTCACAGCTCGATTCTCTGTTGACTCTCGTCGTAGTGGTCTCCGATGACGACCACGCGAACGAGGCGATGCCATCGTCCGTCACGATCCTATATAAGTCGCCCACTTCCCTCCTCTTCGTTTCCTCTATCGTCGTTCCTGCTGACAACGGAGAATTCTATAATCCTGATCGGGGATTTCCGCGGATCTTCGCGAAATGGACAACACATTTCCGAAGATACGCTCAGTTCACGAGTCCGGTCTGTTCTTTCAACAGACGTCAGCAGACGTGAGATACCACATCGCTGGGTCTGCGATCAGTCTGACAAGTCCGTGGGGTCGCGTTGTTAACAGTGCGACACACACATACACACACACAATTCGGCGCAACGTATGACAAACTCGTTGGAGTGATTCAACGTAATTTACAGCGGCTTGGTGCGACGAATACGCGCCTCAGTCTGCCATGTCCCCCTTCTACGTACGCGCGTCCTCTCTCGCCGATTAGAAGCAATACTTCCGCGTGCTCACTTCTGGCACCGGGCTCAAGGACGGGGGTCGTCCCTCGCGCGGGACAACCCCTTCCTCCTGTCAGCCGTAGTAGTAGCTTTTGTTGTTCAGGCTTCGAGGGTTCTCCGTGCGGAGGATCGTGTGAAGATTGTCCGTGGCGACCATGTGGTTACCGAGGTCGCGCACCCCCACGTTGGTCGAGTGATGCACTGGGGTGGCATGGATCGTGGTCGGAGACAGGGGTATCCTCGTGTCGACATAATAACGCTCGCCGTGGAGCCTCTCGGCCAGCTGAGTTTCAGGCAACCTAATAACAAAATATTATTGACAATTATCTCGAACTATGATAGAGATTTTGCAAATATTTATGAAAAAAATCGTGGCATAATAACAACAAACCTGTTCTTTTTAGCCAAACTGCTTGAACTAATGCAATAAGTTAGAGTGAAACAAAATATGTTTATCTCATTCTATCAGTCCTTCTATCACTGTCATCAATAGTAGTAGAATTGGAGAACGTTAAAGTTATTTTAGCAAAAGTGTCTAAAATTTTAGAATTTTTTTCGAACGTAAGAAATATTGTTACAAGTACCGATTAAATATTCATATAACCAATGATCAAATTTTTTAGTTTTTTAGAGTTGGAAAAATTATTTTAAAAATAATTCGTCTTTTTACTGTTTCCGTTATTTTTGTCTTATATAAGATAAGATTGAATGAAACAAAATATTCGTACCTCTAAATATTTCTGTTATTATGTAAGTTATTTTGTAAGTTTTTTAATCATTATTGCATTATTGATAAAACTAAGCTGGTAACTTTGGATAATGTAGAAAATTATGGTTTTATAAAATTTTCTTCTTTTTGTTAAACTTTGATGATACGTTTTGATAATTTTTAACAAAAGTTGATATTCTATAATATTTGATTCAGTTTTGTAATGACTCTTTTTTTGCGTTAGTACAAAGTTTTTGACGTCTGAGGAAAAGTTTTTTTAGATTTCTAAGTAATAAAAAAATATATTGAGACATTAGAACTTTTCGATTGTAGCTTTTCTTGTGTACATTCATTCTGTATTGTTTGTTGATAAAAAACGAAAAATTATCGTTATTATCGGAACTTGTATCAGTGTTTGAAAATTTCTCGTTTAATCGAATTTTTAGCAAGATTTTTAAATAGTTTTCTGAAAGTTTTTGATTCTCTCCAGTTTACAAGTTCAATTTGAATTTTAGATGTGAAGAACTGCTAACTATTAATTTTTTTTTCTCAACGTATAAAGTTTAAAATTAAATATCAATTAAATAAAATCAAATATTAAGCTTTTTTATCGTTACCGGAATGAAAATCGTAGATAAATGAATATCGTGTTTCATTTGAAATTTGAAACTTTGCAACGAAAAGTAGTTGCTCTAAATTTGCAAGCACGACGGAAAGGCCACTCCGGGGCAATGTTATTAATCATTCTAACGGCGGAGCCCACGATTGATTCTTTTTCTTTCCTCTCATGGAGCTCGGAGAAATATATCCCTGGTGAGAAAGTTACCTTGCGTCCTGCATTGGCACCGGTACCGCTGTCGTAAGATCGATGTCGGCATCGATCTCGGAAATATCGTCGGTGAAGCCGTTCGGTAGGGCCTCATTATTCGCGTGGAACTTTGCGTCTCTCTTGGCGCGGCGTCGGCTGACTAACAGGCGGCCGATCACTAACGCCAGAAAGACCAGGATACCGCCGGTGACCGATAGAATAATGTAGAGGTAGAATTTCTCCTGGTTCTCTGCGAAAATCACGGTTAAACGTGCGTTTTAAATTCACGCGTTCCTCCTACGGACAGAGCAGACTCTCGCGCGTTTTCCAAAAAAATGTTCGCGAGTAAATCAGTAAAAACGCTCCTGATCGCATCAGGGCTGTTTCAGCGACGACTAGTGTACAGTGATTTTCAATGAAAGCATCTCCACTTCACTGCTCCGTTTTGCATCTCATTGATTCTGACCAGTGGAAGGAAAATTACGCTGCGAAATCTGTAATACACAGAGATTCGTTGTGCCAAGTCCAATCCTGTGCGTTTGTGACGATGGAATTAACGACTTCCATACACCTTGCAATGACAATACCTGCGCCCGCAAAGTGCAATAACGAGAGCAGTTGCTATTAACTGATCTTTTGAACGAGATTTTAGTGACTGCAGTGCTACACTGATAACTGGACGGCCAATTATAAGTATAGAATTTCAGTGGAGAATGCACTGATTGTGCTTTAAAGAGTACCTGCAGTTTTGTTCTTACTCGCAATAGTCTGCCCTTTGTAAATGCACATCGTTTGTGCGCACATGTACAGAGACAAGCACGACGTAATACTTGTACGATACATGGGGCTGTAAATCAGGAGAATAAATCAACCAGCATGCCAGGCTAATTATCCCTAGTGGGAAAACAATGCAACGCCAAACATATAATGCTCAAATTTGCTAATCCGGGAACATGTAACAATTACACGTATCGTTGCGATGTAATCTCGAGCTGGAGCACGAGCTGATCAATTTCCATTCGTTCAATTTTCTCGTAAACAAGCGGCTTTTATTTCTACGATATCGTGCACAATTTCTCCGTCGTTTTAATACCTGCAAACGCGTCGAAAATTGAACTGCACAGAATTAATCGATGCCAGCGCGTGCGTCGAGAAGAGTGTCTCTTCACGTGCATATACCACAGGGTGGTCAGGCAGGCAGGGTGAGAAATATCCTCCGGCCAGCCGGCCACCTTTGCGGAGCAAACTACCTGTCGTATCCAAGCCTGGCAAGGGAGGAGGCAACTCGTCGTCGGGATCGATAGCGACGGCGCGGCGTCGGTTTTACCGGCTGAAAGCAAGGCTCGACCGACAGTGTAATACTCACTCGTTATGAAGGAATAGGCATTGATCCACTCATTCAGGTATCCCACCACTAAGCGATCCTCCTCCTCCTCCTTGGGAAACGCATAGACGACGGTGGTGCAATTTCCCGATGCGACGGGGCTCGTCGATGTGGCATTACCAACCCCGTTGTCGCTCGCCATCGTGATCTCCTGGATAACCGTGGGCGGTAAAGGCGGTAAGGGTAAATCTTTCGCTCCGATACCGAGCGACTTTAACATGTTCAACCGCGTGTCCACTGTGTGCACGCGAGAAAAACCAGTTCAGAGGCACGCAAAGGAGGAAAATAGGGAGAGGGGGACGATGGGAGTTCGCAATCGCGAACGGATTCGCGTCCGAACAGGCGTTGGAAAGGAAATCAGAATGTCGGGGCAAATTCAATCTGCGATGCCGCGGATACGAGAGAGCACGAATCTCGCCCCGTCACGGGGATGTCGGGAGAACGTTTCTACGAGTCCGCGGCATCGACGCTTAAGCTACGCGTGATTGACTGCGTTCAGCAGCATGGAAGACTGCTTCGCAACTGTCGTGAAACTCGCGAATCCGTCTGATGTGTGTGCTCTTAATCCCGGCTGAATTTAGAAGAGCGTACGCCAATCAGATTCGCGAACTTTACAATAGTTGCGAAGCAGCTTTCTCTGCGAAAAGCAGCCGTTGCGACGACTTCAGCGGCATGTTTCGAGAGCGAAAGCGTTGCGACCAGAAATCTGCGTGAATTATACGGCATTTTTACAGCGGCGACAGGTGTCGAAAGATTCCATGAAGAATGGAACGTTACACGTAGGCGTCGTGAGTAACGCCTCGAATTTAGAGATGTGCGATTCCGATTCGATTTTTGGGAAAATCGATGTTTTCTTACAGACTTGGGGTTTTCTGATCGATTTCTTTCCTATTTGATTCTGACACGAGTCGATTATTTCAAGAGAGAATCGATATCTCATTTGTTGATATGCTCATTTGCCGGTTTTATCATATTTAATACAAAAGTCACACGCTGCGTCCGACATTTGACCCATCAAGATATCTTAGGATTTTGTAATTACAAAAGATTATAGAAGTGACGCTAAATGTTTGGCTGTATAAACAAAAGTAATTAGGATTTTTATCGAAGAATTAGGATTTCAGAGTCGAAATCCTAGTTATTTCTTCAATTTAAAAATGACACCCTATGACAAGATATTAGAATTAACATTAGATTTTTATTAGACATATTAGATCTTATACAGGGATCCCATTCATCATGAGAAAATTAAATATTTCCACTATAGAAACTTTGAAAGCTAAAAAACTGAAGAGATGCTAATAAATGCTCGTGATTTAATATCAATGATTTAATATTCCATTTTCAACTTAGAGTGTTATTTGAGAATGTAGTTACTTAAACTAGCAGAATGATCTTTAAATTATAATATAATCCTGTAAATAAGAAAAAGTGGATAATTGTTGTTATACAACGACACTGAATGATACACCAGGATGCATAAAAAATGCTTATCATAACATATGCCCTGAAACTACTCGAAATGTTATGCACACATGTATTTGGTGTGTGCGAAAGAGTATTGAGTCTAATGACCGTCAATTCGATCATTTAATTAAATAAATGTTTTGTTACGCGATTTAGAATTATGCTTTCAGTGTATTTGTTTGTCCTTAAGATGTAGGTACATGTAATCAACTGCATATATGAAAATTCTAGTTAATAATCTAGGAATTACTCAAACTTGAAATTTTATCCCCGAGGTTTTATTCTAACGTCACAGGTCACAGGTCATTGGACTCGTCTCGATGCATCCTACAGAGTTATGTAATAAAAACTTGAAAATTACCTGCGAAAAACGGTTCATGATCTTAAAATCGACCTTAAAATAATCTTGAGAAAGGATAATTTTACTGTCATATTTCTCTGTCATCTCAAATCATATAATGAGATAATGACCATCTTTCATCCAATCAATAGAGTGGAAATATTTACATTTTTCATGATAAATGGAATTGTGTATAAAAAAAGAATTAAGTTCTCATTGTACGACTTTCTTGTATTGATATTTAGGAAATCGATTCTTTTAATTTTATTTATATAATAAATCGATTTTCTACTATTTTCATCTAGAATTAATCCTAGAATTGATTTTTATTAAAGAATCGCTCATCCCTAATCTCAAACGCGTCTTCATCGCAGAAAACATTTAGAGCCCGAGTATTTTATACACGACAGATTGTGAGATGCATATACATGTATATAATGTACAATTTATCGTTTTTAACATTGAGTTAAATAAGAAAAATTACATGATTACTGCACACACGTGTGAAATGTATCGAGAAGAATATCGAGACACAGAAACACGACGACGATTAGTCACTGTGTTATTTACAATGAAAAATACGCTCAACCATCCACCAAATATGATATTATTTTTCCACACAGTATCTATGAGATATAAGTTAGCTGTGCCTATGAGAGTATATGATAGAGTATGTCGAGAGTGATATACGAGATGTAGATAAAACACGATGAAATGAAGCAAAATCGCGCGCCAGAATTCCGCGGTTGTGTAATTAAAACGGATTTGTTGCGCGGGGATTATTTATTTACGATACCTTTAAACTACGAGCTCTTATCCGTAAATATAATACAAATCATAGCCTTTCATAGCTGTTACACATTCGAAAATTTGACGCTGTCAAGTTACGTTTTGATTAAAACTTGTTTATCAACTAATTAACAACGTTGTGTGAGGCAAACATGTTTTAACGCGCGCTGTATTCGTTACACATGTTGCAGTTTACACATATTAATAACACATATTAATAACAACTAAGAAAAGGTAACGTTTTATCGAGTTTTAACCCCCCGAGTGATAAAATATTTTTGATATCTTTGAAGCGGTGTCATTTATGACTTCTTTGATTTTTCTCCTTTTAAGGAAAAAAATCTTTTGCTCGAAAAAAATCCCCAAAACTGTTCAAACTTCCTTTATCCTTCTAGTTGAAGATCACGTAGCTGTTTTGTAAAACATGAATTGTGGTGTGTGTAAATATTTTATTTCTAATAATTTTTAAACAAAAGTGAATAAAAATGGCTATTTTACTTAAAAATTCAAAACTTTTTCAAAAAACAAAAAGAATTCCTCTAAACTTTTCTAATATAATCATTAGAAAAAATGTGTCAGCTCGCGGTATGTTTTAAGAAGTATAATTATTGGCGAGAGTGGGAATTGTCAATATATTAAAACGATAGAGAAACAGTTCTCTCAGGAAACAAAAGAATAATTTCTAAGACAAAATATTTTCTTTTTATAAAAAATTATTAAAAATAATATAAAAAAATATCATTAATACATATTAAAAAAAGATTCGTTGGGCATAAACTTAGCAAGTAGTGCGTAGATGTTCATCGCATAATACTATACCGTATTCTACGTATCAAAAATAAGTTTTCTAAATCATTTTTATAAGGATGGTTGTGTAAGAGATAGTTGAATAAAAAAGAAATAAAAACGGCAAGAGCTAGAACTTACACATCTGACATACGTCGAGTGGTAACCCGAGTCATATATGTTCAGGCGCGACTTGAATTACTTAGCGTTTGCTAAGAAAAATGCGTTTCTTAGCAGCTCATGTGAACAGTGAGTTCCTTCCATCATCAAGTTCTTTTGGAGAAAGAAACCGAGAAGTAGGATTCAGTTGCTTTGTTCAGAGGAACAAGCACTCCTTGAATTGGTATACAAATGACTCTGCTTATCACTCCAAAGGTTAATGAGTACGAATTGCGCGATCAATAATCGCGAGAGCTGCTTGACACGATTCTCTGGTCCAAAATTCACCGCTTTTCGCCAGGCGAAGCGATTGCGATTCAGGAAATAGAATCGACTACTCGATCATAGTTAACATTCGTGATTTTTCTGCGCTGAATGAACAAAATCAGAGAGGGATGGAGAGAGAAAGAGAAACGCATAAAGAAAAAAATCTCCGAAAACTCGCGAGTTTTTCGTTCACCCTGTATCTCTCTACGGATCGTGGAACTTAAATGGCACATTGTATCCGCGGAACGCTCCACGGCCTTCCGCATGCTGACTTACTTCTCGCGCGAGTTATTTTTCAGGAAAGAACCGCACGGGCCCTCCTCTCTGAATGTCAATGGGAAATGGAAATGCGGGAACGGAATAAAATATACAGACAAGTAGCCGGCGTCTTTGTCGTCGGATATTGAGGGAATATTCCGGACAAAAATCATGCGTAACTGGGCTATGTGAATACTCGATCTACTCACAATACCTTGTAAGTCTTCGAAGTACAGAATGTCTTAAGAGAAACACACACATGTCAGATAAAAATACCAATATTCTGGTATAGAATGGTCTGGATATTAGATAACACTGGTAACTGACTTATTATTTGGGTCTTTAAATACGGATCTTTAAACTTTTTCAATACAGGACATATATACATAGAATATATACATACATTATACGTTAAAAGTTTAAATATTTAAATTTATTAAAATTAAATTTATTTTAAAAAAATATTTAAAAAGTTTTATTAAAGTTATATTAAAAAAAATATTTAAAAATAAAACAATGAGAATGTCCAGAATCAGGTATCAGTTTTATAAGTGACTAGACATCAGCAATTTTATTTTACTCTCGTAGTAGAAATTGAGCCTCGTGTCTAGCTACTAGATAATAAATTTGTGTCTAACACCACTACTAACAAGTAATGTAACGCTCACTTTTCCTAATGGCTAGATAAATAAGTTAATTAATGACTAAATAAACGAAATTACAATTACGAGATATAATATATAAGTTGCTAGTTACAGTAATATAACGGTCAATTCTATTTTTTGAGACTTTTATGAAATTAATGTATCTTTAATTTTGATTTGTTACATAATTTTCTCTCGAAATGCTAGTAGCAATATAATAGCAAAATATATATTTTATAGGCAATGCCATTTGCTCCGTCACATTTGACATTTAATTGCTAGATAATGTATGATTACGAATTCAATTCTATATTTCAATGAATATCAGGTTGATAAATTTTGACTGTTGTTCTGATTTCCTAACCTCTGTAGGTAATCCTGAAAGCTTTTAGCATTCTAAAATCAAATCCAAACTGCTCTATCACGTCAGGTTACGAGATATTTTAATCTAAAAGTATTAAAAAAACGATTTATTGTCATTTTTAGGTTAGAATAAAACTGAAACGAAAAGTGATAGGCCAATTTAG